AAAAACTTTACAATAAAAATCCATGGCCCCCGTTTAGCTCTTGCAGGTTATCACCATGCATGATATTTGAAATAAACAATATAGTTAATAATAAATGTATGCCTTTTTACTGTCATGACTTCAAAACCAATATAGTTTAATTAGTTCGTTGTAAAGTTGTAAGTCGGTTCTATTATTACTTAAGTAGTTTAATTTAATAATTAGTCGTAGTTGATTTTATTAAATAAGTTGTCATCGAAGTGAATAAAGTTTTTATCTATCTGTCTATTGAAATGTTTATTTACAAAGAGCAACCCCTAGAGTTTCGAACTGATTCTTCTCAGGGGAATCTGCCTTACGAATGAGTTGACTACTCATTGAAGAGCAATTTGCTTTCCTCTGAAATAAATAATATATGACTTTGAGCTTGAAATGTTCTCATACTGAATACGTATGAATGATATAGATACTATAGCTGTACGCAATGGTAAAAGTTGCGAAGTAACATATGTACAAATTAGTAAGGAAAATGTGCTAACGTCTAGCCCACAATGCAAATGCATCGACAGGCGCAAGGTTGTCTGAATAATATATTAGGTTTAATACAGCGTTACAATTATATGTAGTAACGGTCTCCACCCATTCCGACCAGCAAAATATATCTTGATTGAATAATATATCATAAATACTTTCAGTATCTCTCCAACCTTACGTTGATGTAATTTTCACGATTTTCACACATTATTTGAATTTAATATCGGGACTTAAACCTGTATAAATATATTATTTGATTAACCTTTTTTTATAATTTCAAATAACGGGACGAACAAGTTGTGTGCCTGGTGGTAAGCTACACGCCTATCCATAACAGTTGCAATGCCATTCGGAGCTTCAAATCGCAAAGATCTGAGGGGCACTGCCACTGCGCCTGTCACCCTAAGACATAAGTTAAAAGTCCCATGTGCCTGTAGTTTCACCAGCATCCTTACCCTTCTAAACCGGAACGCAGCAATGCTCACACAACTGTTACTAAAAACGTCCATGGTCTCGAAGGAACTGAAGAGGTCAAGAAAGAGAAGAAGACCAAGTGCAGGTAGTTAGACATGTACCTCTTCAGTCTCTTCGAGATCATGGACGTTGCAACACGTCCGAAACGTCGAGGTAAATAAAATATATTTATACACGATTAATTCTCCAACTTTCTTAAGCCATTATTTTTTCGCCTTAGGGAATCACCACAATTATCAATACAGAGCCGCATTAAGCTGATCAGAAAAAGCTTAACGAACATGTATAATAAGAAGGAAAAGATGTCGCGCATTAAGAGTCGATACTATCTTAGCAAAGTTAAAAATTTTGCCGTACTGAATCGGTTCTATTGCGCAGGTCCAGCGGCAGGGACCTGGCTTTATTTCAGAATTTATTTTTTTTACAAACAAAGTTAAAGCCATTAGAGAAATGTATACCGTATACGTTAATTCGTTCATTGGTATAAAAAAAGTAATTGGTGTACGTAAAGTACATATAGAATACAGAGGTTTTCTTGTAAAATTTCGAGGTGTTTTTTTCTATGGTGAAAATTTTTTGGAATCGCGTGTTCACATCGTATACTAATGAGTGTATATCCTCAAATTTTCTAATTTTTTTTCCAAAGTGATTGGTACAACACTTCCACTTTTATGTGGAATCAACCAAAGCCATTTGAAGTTGTACGCATCTTAAGCATTGGGGCAAACCAAGCGATAGCGAAATGCACAACATCTTTTCTCTCTTATTGTACAGATATAATTTGTCTTGGGAAGTTCACCTTTTTAATACAGTCGTCTTCAAAATTATCTACTACGGTGACCGTACGACCGTACGACCGTGACTAACCAAGAATATTAACCATCCAAAGCGGTCATCTATACTTTCAAAGTGCTGAAAATGTGTGACCATTCTTCATGAAGACAGTTTTTAATAGTTATTAATTTTAATCTGCTATTGCCTCCGTGACCAAACGGTTACCACGCTGGTCTGCCACGCAGAGGTCCCGGGTTCGATTCCCGGGCCGAGATAAATATTTATACGGCCTGTATTTATTTCTCTCGTGACTTTGGGTGTAATGTGTGGTTGTCTATGTGTGTGTCCATGACACCCCTGATACAGGGTTTCCCTAGTGCGAGGCTATAAAATTAAAACATGCTGATATTTTGTAAATACTCGGGATGCTATAGATGATATTTTTTATTGACATGACCGTATAGATAATTTTGAACCTGACTGCACTGTACGGTTCATAGATTCAACAAATAAAAGTCTAAATGGTTGATGACTTCACAATCCCAGTCAGCCGTGACCATGGGATCTGTAAAGGGCCCGAAACGTTAGTTTATTTTAAAACACAAATGTACACGGTTTAGATCCGATCTTTCATTTTTTATTTTTTTCTGGTTCCCAAATGAACAGTTTTATTGTACAGAGTTCTTTTTAGTTTACTCGTTAGCCATTTGTTGTTAAAAATAAGATTGATGCTTGCCCGCCGTGGCGGCAATTGCAGTATCCGCTAACACAGGTTAAATCCTTTTGTGGGATCTGGATCTTGCCTGACTGGTCAGCAATAAATCATAACTAATTACTGTATTTATTTCTATATTATTTGTAACGGCTATCGCTAAAGTTATTATTATTTCTTATGTGTAACAATCGCGAAAATCTAGGAACTCGATTTAATAGTATAAAAATAAAATAACTAATAAACTACAGAACGTTTACAAATTATTTCACGTGGATTCGATAGTGGAGATACCATACTCCAATACAGCTGCCCGGTCTTTTATTGTTATTTTTTTATAGCCCCGCAATAGGGAATCCCTGTATCGCGGATGCCATGGACACACATAGACAATCACAAATTACACCCGAACACGTAAGAGAAATAAATGTAGGCCATATAAATGTTTCTCGGGAACGGGAATCGAACAGGACAGCGTAAGCGTAGGTACTCATGGATTGCTAGAAAGTTTAAAACAAGAGTTACACGATTTGTCGTAAATGACTTCAGAGTTCTTGCGCTGTTCATTAATTCAGGACTCTACATTTCTCATGCTTACTCGGGATTTGCTTTTTTGTCAAATGAATATACGCGATTTTGATCCGGAAAAAATAATTTCATTTTCAATGTGTAACAATCGCGAAATCTAAATTGCGTGACACATTTGTTTTTTTCAAACAAAACAACATCCCGGGCAACAAAGATTTTGTACGTTTGGTACTTTTGCGAAAACTTGAGAGTAGTGTCTTGTCGGTGGCTAGCCAGTGACCTATTATTCAACTGCCATTTCAATTTTTTGTTATTCAGATCTTATAGTGATTGAATCACTCACTCAATCACTACCATTCCACTGACACTCTATTGACGCAACTGCCATTGCAACTAGATCTTATTGGAATTACAATAACCAGTGATTTTTAGAACATTATTAATAGCATCTTGGGATCCAGGTCCCATGGTTACGGCTGATTGAATAGTATGAAAACTCGGTACAGGAAAAGTTATTGAACGTTTCATTTAATAAGATAGAAATGCGATAATCATTTCGTAATTTTATTATTGTATTTAGTAGAAGCCATCTCTTTCTTGGACGATCATTAACTGGAATTCTTGTATGTTATTTGTAAAACATACCTTTATAAGTATTATCAATATAGGAAATTAATTAAGTACACCGAAATTTTCATGACAAATTACCCTCGATAATAAGGCTCTACATTCTTCATACCTACCTACTTAAACAATACACGGAGTTACTTTAAAAAAAATAAAGCTATACAAAATGTAGATAATTACTAAAATATATTACAAACAAACTTAAAAATGAGAAGGTAATAGAAAAACAGATACTGCAGTCTAGCCGGGCTATGCCCCAGGCCGATGAGTTTCAACGGCAAATGACCTAACTCAATGGAGTATAGTCGAACAACTAACCTAATTAAATTTCCATTTTTATTGTAAATTCAGTGTTTGAAAATTTATGCAGAAACAATTAATTCTTTCAATGAAGTAAAGACAGACAATACATAACAAAGGGGTATCGCGTTTTGTTGCCTTCTACTAGTTCTTTTCATGTTTTTGTTAAAGTAGTTACTTTACAACACGTTAGTCCACTCCCTCTGTATATATCCTGTGTACATTTATTAAAAGTAACAATTTGTTTCTGTAATAGTCTGTTGTTGTAGATCTTCTCTCTGCGAAGTGTATCGAAATTCACTAGTCAAATTTCGTGGTAAAAATTGGTACGTCAATGTAAAAACGAGTCTTTTTTAACTTGACATTGGCGGAATCATCGATTTTATCGATGGAATCATGGATGGAAACACTACACCATAATACGGTGTTAAACATGTGTTCTAGAACGATTTAATATACTCATGAAAATGTGAAGAAATTGTTAATGTACATATTACATGCATTTACACATGTACCAGTTTGAAACAGTTGTGTGCACATTTATTAAATATTATAACAATGTTTTCTGTTCATTAGCTCGTTTGAAGTGTAAGAGAAGCGAACGCATAGCGTCGGTATTTAGGCCATTCGTTGGCCGTCCACACCAAACAACAAAATCTATTTTTTATCTCTCGGTAATTAGCTATAGCGGTCTCGTTTCAAAGCAACCGCCAAAACAATACAGTAACAGCACTCACTTTCATATTTACTCATTTGGCAAGTTTTAATCAGTGAAATTCACACTTTTTGGAACATAACTGGACGACATTGAGAATTCAAGACAAGAGATTCGACTCACGCGCGATGAGTCAATTTCCGAAGTGCGGTCATCGGATAAGTTTCCCCATTCCGGAAAAACTACGGCGGAAAAACGTGAAAACGCAGCCCGACGTTGCAGCGCCCGAAAATACGGTCCTAATTTTAGATCTAATCGGAAACAGCAACATTCACTGGTGTAATAACTTGTAAATTTTGCTGTTTCCGATTTCGTTTGAGAGTTGTGATGAAAAACGGCGAACAATTGCTTACTCACCAGAATCTGTCGCTCGCACGCAAGACAGCGGTCGTTGGATTCGTTTATTTTACTGAAATTATTTTTGTGCCGCTCGACGGTAGCGCAGATTCCGGTCGTGTGGCGCCCGCCCGGGCGGTGTGCCGACTGCCGCGGCGCGCGCGCACTCTGCCGCTCACACATGCGTACACGCTGTAATACACCTCTAATACCAGACACTGTGCTCCTCGTTACGACCTAAATCACATCTACCATGATACACATTACCTATAGTTGGAATATGCCCGAGCGAAGCTATTGAAGCGTTGCAGTGTTTGCCGTGCCAGTCGCTGGTTGAGGAATTGAGTGGATTTAGTGACATTGCTGCGAAAATAACAAAAGCGATGATGCAGAGCATTTATTCAATGTCCAACAGCTTAATATTATTTGCCAGTGTCATTCTGAAAGCCGTGACTGATGTAATGATCGTGTAAACGGGCTATAGAAGCGGCTCAAAGAAGAACCCATTCCAAAACCTTAAAACAACAGTAAGCTAACTTTTTGTAGAGATCGTGCTCAACGGAGGCACACAAGTACCTACGCGCACATGACAACTAACATGGTCTTACCTCAAAATTGCTTCAAGTTATATTAATGTTACCTATTTAATTTCAAAGCGACAGTGTTGTCCTGTCACTTTGAAATAGAATTGTATACGAATGACTAGCAAGTATAGTGAAATTTAGAAGATAAATTATTAATATAACGCAATTTTTGAGATAATACTATGTTAGTTATCAAGTGCGCTGTGTCAGTGGCGCGTGCCTAGAAGTAACATGTAAGCAGAAATGTATGAAAAACTATTTATATATATAGTAGTATAGTAATAAATATGACAGGTTTCGATTATTCTATGTAAAGAGCAATAACAAATATTAGCCTCGGAAACAATGAGTGATATAAGTGATCGGCTCACTCTCGTCACGTAAGTGAAAGGCAGTGCCGCACGGATTAGCACCGCCTGCGCCTGCGCCGCCGCTGCTGTGCTAACACTGGCGTGCCCCGCCGCAGCGTGTGATGAGCCGGGTCAATTAACTATTATTACTAACCATTGTACTGGTCGTTAAAACATGATGATACATAACCGGGAGATAGAAATTTGCCTTGTGTGCAGTACAATAGAGCATGGTCCATTACGCCGCCCTTAGAAGGCAGTTGTATGGTTGTGCTGTCCTCTGGTGGACAAAGAACTAATAAATGAAAAAGGAAGGAGGTGGATGTCATGCGGGGTCTATTCTGTCTTCGGAAGAAAGAAAGACACAAGCAGCGAATTCAATATACGGAGATTTTTTAAACACATTTTTGGATCATTGTTGACTTTGCGATTGTTACACATTTTAGTCTCATCAGTCGATCGGAGGCACTCTGCCGTCCGCCATCTAAGAAGCGGCTAAGTAACAAAATAATTTTTTGAGATATCATAGATAACCATAACTCAGTTTTAGTTTAATAATATTTCAGGTACGAATCGTTAGGGTAATTTCCGATAAGTCTAAAATAAGATAAGTTTTTAAAAGATAATTTTGTGCTCTATCTTATGCTATGTAATACGAACGAAAAGGACGGCTGCGCTGCGCCCCTCACCCTGAGGCATAAGTTGAGAAGTCTCATGTGCCTGTAATTTCACTAGCACCCTTACCCTTGCAAATCGAAACGCAAACGACAGAAATAGGTAAGGTGAAGGACGTCCCTGAAAGAAATCTTTCACGAGGAGCTCTACTATGAAGGTGCTGATGAGATGAGTGTGTCTTGTTTTTTAGGGCCGAAATGCACAATCTTGACTGTATTAGGAATAGCTAGAACAACTTAGGATATTACAACGCTCACAAATAAAAATAATAATATATTCTATTATCATTATATAAAAAAACAAAAAAGTATTATTACTATATGAAAAAATTGTTACTCCTTTCTTTTATTGTTCGTTGTATTTTGTAACCAGAATAGTATATTATTATTATTTATTACTATTGTGGGTACAAAATACTACAGACAATAAAAGAAAGGCGTAACAATTTTTTCATACTGTGCTCCAGAACTAGGGAAAAAAATGTGATAGGAAGGAAAAAAATCACAAAATCTCCGTATAAAAAATACCTTTTTCACCTCACTAGCTCGGAAAGGCTTTCTTTATCATGGAAAAGGTTTTTTACCATGGACTGTGGTATGAAAAAAAAGATAATGACACGTTCAACTACGCGATTTGTCGTACATTACTTATTTAAGTAATATAAATCCGTTGGTATATTATATTCCTATTATTGGCTTGAAATTAGATGTTGACATTTACGTGGCATTTAATGACATTGAATGGACAATAGTAACTAATTGTGTTCAATTGTGTTTATTAAATTATTTTAATTCGTCGAAGAACCAAAATAATTTCAATAATCACTTAATCACATAAAAGTACAAGCAAGAATAAAAATAGATAAGGTGTAAATTCAGAACGCAACCGAAGATAAACTTTTTCTTTTATTTAAAAAAAAACTGATGTTATAGTTCAACTGTTTTTCTTTCATCTACCGTTTTCCTCGCTATAGTGAGGTGAAAAGTTGTGTGTTTCGCTCGGCAGCATAGTTGTTTTGCGTCTCGTGTCTTGAAACCCTCGCTACGCTGAGGAATCTATTATTGAACCACTCGCTTAGCTTTATGTTCAATCTTAGCTTCCTTCGCTTGTTCAGGTTTCAATACAGGCACACGCGTCAAACAACAACTTTCCAGACTTGCCTAACAAATAACTATCAAATAAATGTATGTTTCATAAGGACAGCAACGAGTGTAACGATGATTTAAGAAAATAAAATAAGGGAGTGTGAATAATAATTTATTGCGTGAATCTTTAAGTAAAAATAATACAGGATTTAAACAAAATCAGTAAAATTTTCAACGAGCACATCTTTAGCGGCAGTTTTGGAAGGTGTCAATTTTAACAATGCTTAGTGTTTTTTACTATTATTATAACAATTTCATTTATCTATGATGGAAATAATTTAAAAAAAATATAAAATGAATTAAGCCAAAGAGAATACATTGTGAGCAAAATTAGTAAACTGCTCTACAAGTAACTGGTGTTTGGTAGTCCAAAGACAGCCGCTAAGGAAATTTTGACCGTTGACAATCAGGAAGTAACTTCATTTAAAATTGCACTTCTCGCATAACCGAGTAAATGTTAATAAAACGAATGTATTAATAAATAATTGAAGGACGGAAGAAACAATAAAAGTGGACATTTCTTTCTAATTGAGTTATATATGAGATCATAAAGAAATTGCACTTTAATAAGTTTATTAAATAAATTTATTTTAATAAAACAGATTATATCGAGTTTTCGCGACTGCTACACGTAGAAAATGAAACTGTTGTCGGATCCCGGACACATAATTCGAGCTACCTCGCATTTTCCGCATTAAGCGCTCTAAGTGCTATTGCTTCTCAATATCATTTAAATTGCACTATTTACACCCGATTTTCCGATCACTGGGGAAAATATAAACTGTAAATACTCCATTTTCATCGCGTGCCTACCAGAGGGCCAGGGTATTAATTGTAACCTGGCTTTACATGGGCTAGCAAAGGCGATGCGGTTATTTATTTTTCCAAACAAACCAGCGTTTCGGGCCATTTACGGGGCCATGCTCACAAGGCCCGAAATTCATAGTTAGATCTGTTTTCCCTTTTTTTTATAATACCAAGTGACGGGACGAACAAGTCGTGCGTCTGGTGGTAAGTGACACGCCTATCCGTAACCGTTGCAGTGCCATACAGAACTTTAAATCGCAAAGATCTTAGGGGCACTGCCAGTGACAGTTGACAAGTCCCATGTGCCTGTAATTTCACCAGCACCCCTACCCTTCGAAACCGAACGCTGTAATGCTCACATTACCGCTTGGCGGCAGAAATGGATAAGGTGGCAGTACTTCCCTGGATGAACTCTTTCACAAGGAGCTCTACTGCTGCTAAAACAAACGAGACTCTCCGACCGTTAAGTGAAAGACCGAAACTCTTTCGAAACAGCCCATTCGAAACTGTCAAATCACATTGACATAAATTCTTAGTTCTGGGCGCGATCGAAACTCAAGTCTGTAGGCCATCCAGTTGGGAAAAAGGTCGTAACTCTACGGCTTTCGTGCTTCGAGAGTAGGGCCCCAAGTCCCATGGTCACGGCTTACTGGCTGGAAACAGTTTATAGTAAGAATGTCCCCAGATCATTGGCCAAAAATATGGACACATAAGGCACTTTGTAGAAGTTTGCGAGTTACTAACACGAAGATTATGAATGTTTCCACGTTGAGTGGTCCGTGTAAACTTGCCAATTTACAATGCAGTTACTTCCTTTAAACCAAAATAAATATGAACATACATCCGGAATGTCTACACAAACTAATCGTTATCTACTTAATACGAAAAAAATGTTATCTAAAAGTAAAAGTAAATAATAAATAACTAAATTGTAACAAAAATTACAAACTAAGTTTTGTCACTTTGGTGGTTTAGTTCACTGAAACACAAGGAGATAGGAAACCTGAGGCCTTTTTGCCAGTTAAGGGAGTTTACAATCTAAACGTTAGTCTTGGCAGTACTACCGCTCCGATGTGTAACGAAAATTCTTTAATTCTGGGTAAAAGTGCAAACTAGTTCATATTACTATATCTGGTCCTACATCCGCGTAAACAAGACAATAGAAAATTCATTAAAATATGGAATATTTTGTCACGCTAGGATATCTGTAGAAAAAGGATTATTTAGAACAGCTATTACCAACCTTAAATGGTAATTCTCTATATATTATCTGAAAGTAATGAACAGAAGTCTGAATAAGCGCAGTATGTTTGCCTAAGCTTCAAAGTAGGTAGCTCTATGCACATAGAGCGGACAATATCTCCCTTTGAATCAAGACATTATTCTACTTTGTTGTTGTAGTTATTGTATGTTGTAGTTTTGTAACAGAATTTGCCTTTCTTTAATCATTCGGGGAGTTAGGAAGGAGGTTTTATCAACTCCATGTATATTACTTGAAATTGAGGTAATCATATTCTTCTTATTGGTTCTCTGCTCTGGAGTCCGTAAGTTTTAAAACACGAATACCATTAGGTTTCTATAGTTTTATTC